ATAGCTAGTTAGAAAGAAGTAGCAAATTAAAGATGAGGGAGGATTTTGTGAGCAAGTGCACTGATTACAGTGAGAAAAGGCAGATGGCAGCTTGATAGTAAGAAAAAACCACATTCAAAAGCAGATAGGGCTGGGCATGGTGGCTCACTTCTATAATCCCAGCACTTTGGGAGGCCAAGGCAGGGCAGATTGCTTGAGTTCAGGAGTTGGAGACCAGCCTGGACAACATGGCAAAACCCTGTCTCTACAAAAACAAAAACAAAAATTAGCTGGGCATGGTGGCATGCGCCTAAAGTCTCAGCTACTCAGGAGGCTGAGGTGGGAGGATTGCTTGAACCCAGGGAAGTCAAGGCTGCAGTGAGCCGTGATCACGCCTTTGCGCTCCAGCCTGGGTGACAGAGTGAGACCCTGTTTCAAAAAAAAAAAGCAGATATAGGAAAAAAAAGCATAATAATTAACAAAAGCTTCATATTAAGTGATGTTAATACAAAAACTGCTATCATTTAAATAGTACCTACTAAGTGTCAGGCTCTGTGCTAAACGCAATGATTTTTTGTTTGTTTGTTTGTTTGTTTGTTTGTTTTTGAGACAGAGTCTCGCCCTGTCATCCAGGCTGGAGTGCAGTGGCACGATCTCAGCTCACTGCAGCCTCTGCCTGCTGGGTTCAAGTGATTCTCCTCCCTCAACCTCTCAAGTAGCTGGGACTACAGGCGACCGCCACCATGCCCAGCTAATTTTTGAATTTTCAGTAGAGACAGGGTTTCACCATATTGGCCAGGCTGGTCTCAAACTCCTGACCTTGTGATCCATCTGCCTTGGCCTCCCAAAGTGTTGGGATTACAGGCGTGAGCCACTGTGCCCAGCTGATGCAATAATTTTTAAAACTCAGAGCATTTCCACTTTTATTTGTTCACAATGGGACTCTGTATTAATTTCACTTGAAAAAGAATTTTGGGGTGAACGGTATTTTTTAAAAACTGCCGTTTATCACATAATTCTCAAATCAGCACTGTGATTTAGCATTCCCATTTTACAGATGAGAAATGGGAGCTGAAAAAAATTAAGAACTTTACCCAGGGTTATATACCTATTCACAGCAGGAGCCAATATTCCAACACAGGTCTGCTGACTTTGGAGTCTGTGTTCTTTCCACTGTCATGCTGCCTCCACATTTATACTGATGGCTCTGAGTCACTAAAAAAGGTTAACTTATAACCATTTAAGAAGCCAGGGAAATTACATTGCTTAAACTGGTGGAAAAGTGTACTCAAATGGCAAGCACCCAGCTACCCGGGGAAACTGAGCTCTCTGTCCAGATACATAATAACAGGGGAGCTATACCTTTCCCAAGTTTATCTTTACATGAGTGTAATTTTGTAATTTTCATGTCTCTTTCTTGAAGACGTACTCACATAGTAAGCATGAGAGTGATAACATTTTCAGTTGGAATGTGAGTTGTCTCACCCTCATGGCAATGACTTTATGGAATCACCATTCATTAGCAGAATCTGCATATACACATAATTTATGAAGTACTATTCATAAAAGCATGTTTTATGAATAATAATCTGCAGGCTGCTGAAGCCGTATCTTTCATGACATCTTTCTAATGATATTGTCAGAGGGAAAAGTAGTTATAAATCATCCTTCAAATCCCTTAAAGGTTGAAAGGTAAGTAGTAACTAGTCATCTTCAGAACTCATTGGATTTACAAGTTTATCCTTGAATAGGTTCATGACTGAGACTAGGCCTCATTAATCTTAATCATATCAAGCAGAGTACCTAGTAAAGTTAGGTCAGCAATGGCTGCTATCAGAAAGTCAGGACATACTTCAGACAAGAATGCACTCAGTTCGTAGACACACATACCCAAGCCGGGGATTTAGGAGAGATTCACTGGAGACACAAGTAGTCTCAATAATGACAATAGCTAGAGAGAGGATTCCAGCACCAAACACACAGCCAATAAAACCACTGAGGTGCAGGGTCAGACCAGACTTAAGTACAGATTCATCCAGAACATGACTGGCTCTATTAAAAAAAGTCAACAGAAACCTTGTATGCAACAAGTGGCCAATTTGGGGCTTTCATGGGTAGACTGTGATCGTCCTAGGAGACAGGACTGGAGAGCATCAAGCTCAGGAAGAACTCCGCTCTGAGCCCTCCATTTAGATGTGGGGAGATCAACACAAAATGCAGAGTAAAAGGGAGGGGGTAAGGAGAAACCACATCGTGTAGACAGATTCTTGCATTTGTCAGAGATGAGGGAGATGAAAATTGTACAATTTTCCCTTGGAATGTGCGTTCTCTCACCTTCATGGCAGTGACTTTATTGAACCAGCATTCATTAGTAGAATCTGCACATACACAGAGTTTACGAAGTACTATTCATTAAAGCATGTTTTGTGAATAATAATCTGTGGGCTGCAGAAGCAGTATCTTTCATGACATGTTTCTAATGATATCGTCAGAGGGATAAGTAGTTATAAATCATACTTCAAATCCCTTAAAGGTTGAAAGGCGGGCTAGGCACAGTGGCTCATGCCTGTAATCCCAGCACTTTGGGAGGCCGAGGCTGGCAGACCACTTGAAGTCAGGGGTTCAAGATCAGTCTGGCCTACGTGGCGAATCCACCAAAAATAAAAAAAATTACCTGGGCATGGCGGCAAGCATCCGTGATCCCAGCTACTGGAGAGGCTGAGGCAGGAGAATCACTTGAACCCAGGAGGTGGAGGTTGCAATGAGCCAAGACTGCCATTGCACTCCAGCCTGGGCAACAAGAGCAAAATTCCATTTCAAAAAAACAAGAGTCGGGGGGGGATTGAAAGGTAAGTAGTAACTAGTCATCTTACTTAGTAGAGATTGACCTGACCGGAGAAGTGAAGAGGGGTTATCTGTCACACAGTGTTGTGAACCTAACTAGTTGGGTTACTATTTTCCAATATTTTTAATCTTGTGAAACATGCAAACTTGCCAGGAAGTTGCAGGCTAGATATCCTTTTCTCCTCTCTCCATCTCTCCAGCCAAAATAGCTTATTCACTTACTTTATTGAATTTCTCGGAGAGTCTGTAAGCTCCTTATGAGCAAGGATATCATATTTTATACATCCCTGTTTTCCCTGCAAAGCCTAGTACAAAAACACAGAGTAGGCTTTCGATAAATCTTTGTGGATTTTAACTGCCCTTTCTGCCCTCTATCACTACACAGAGAAGACATTTGCCTTCTTCTCTTGTCGTTTTTGTTGACTAAACTCCTTAAGTTTGGGTCCAAAACTTTTAAAGTGTGGAAAAACACAGGATTTGAAACTGACAAAGGAAGCTCTTGTGATACACAGAAAGGTCTCAGCATGGGATGAGAACCTATGTTGGGTGATTTGATTTCAGCCATCCTTGATTTTGTGAGCTTTCAGATTTCCACCTTACTTAACTTTTGGTGTTTTGTTATTTTTTCCTTAAGATTAAGCTTTCTCTTTTCTATCTCCCTCACTCTCTTTTTAAACCTTTGGAGAACTTTTATTTGATACTTCCTTGTTTAGCTTTGTAATAACAGGAGTAATTTCTTTAATTATAATACTGCCTGTGATGAATGCATTTTTAGCAGCTTTATTGAGATATAATTCATATACTATACTTCATCCACTTAAAGTGTACAACTCAATGATTTTTAGTGTATTCACAGAGTTGTGCAACTATCATCACAATCAATTTTAGAACAATTTCATCACCTCAGAAATAAACCCCATACCCTTTAGCTCTCTCTCTCACCCTCTTTTCCCCCACACTTCCTAGCCCTAGGCAATCACTAATCTACTTCCTGTCTCTATAAATTTACCTATTTTGGACATTTCATATAAATGCAATCACACAATATGTGATTTGTGACTGACTTTTGTCACTTAGCATAATGTTTTCCAGGTTTGTTCATGGTGTACCGTGTATCAGTGCTTCATCCTTTTTATACCCAAATACTATTCCATTGCATGCACAGACTACTTTTGCTTAAACATTCATCAGTTAATATTCAATTAATATACAAATATTCAATTATAAGCCAGATACAAACATTCAATAACAAGTATTGGGTTGTTGAAGATGTGGAGAAATTAGAACCCTCACACACTGCTGTCTGGAATGTAAAATGGTTCAGCTGCTTTGGCAAACTCTTTAGAAGTTCCTCAGACAGTCATCACAGTTAACAAATGGCCCAGCAATTGCACCCCCAGATCTTTTTTGATTCTAACCATCCTAGTAAAGTGATACCTCACTGTGGTTTGGATTTGCATTTCCCTGATGATTAATGATGTGGAGCACCTTTTCATGTGCTTATTGGCCATTTGTGTATCTTCTTTGTAGAAATGTCTATTCAGATTCTTTTTATTATTGTGTGATAAGTGTTCTTTATATATTCTAGATACATGTCCCTAATCAGAAATACAATTGCAAGTATATTCTCCCATTCTGTGGGAGAATAAAATAACACAATACTTTACATCAATATTTACATCATGAATATACATCAATGGGATAGAACTGAAAATCCAGAAATCCCATAAAGCCTAATGTATCTTTATGCCAGTACCACACTGTCTGGATTAATGTTACTTTGTAATAAGTTTTGGAATTAGGAAGTGTGAATCCTTCAACTTTGTTCTTTTTTTTTGAGACGGAGTTTCGCTTTTGTTACCCAGGCTGGAGTGCAATGGCGCAATCTCGGCTCACCGCAACCTCTGCCTCCTGGGTTCAGGCAATTCTCCTATCTCAGCCTCCTGAGTAGCTGGGATTACAGGTATGCGCCACCATACCCAGATAATTTTTTGTATCTTTTTTTTTTATTTATTTTTTATTTTTTATTGGATTTTAGGTTTTGGGGTACATGAGCAGAGCATGCAAGACAGTTGCGTAGGTACACACATGGCAGTGTGCTTTGCTTTTCTTCTCCCCTTCACCCACATTTGGCATTTCTCCCCAGGCTATCCCTCCCCACCTCCCCCTCCCACTGGCCCTCCCCTTTTCCCCCCAATAGACCCCAGTGTTTAGTACTCCCCTTTCTGTGTCCATGTGTTCTCATTTTTCATCACCCACCTATGAGTGAGAATATGCGGTGTTTCATTTTCTGTTCTTGTGTCAGTTTGCTGAGGATGATGTTCTTCAGATTCATCCATGTCCCTACAAACGACACAAAGTCATCATTTCTGATTGCTGCATAATATTCCATGGTGTATATGTGCCACATTTTTCCAATCCAGTCTATTATCAATGGGCATTTGGGTTGATTCCAGGTCTTTGCTATTGTAAACAGCAAATGAACATTCGTGTACATGTGTCCTTATAGTAGAACGATTTATAGTCTTTTGGATATATACCCAGTATCTTTAGTAGAGACGGGGTTTCACCATTTTGACCAGGATGGTCTCGATCTCTTGACCTCGTGATCCACCCACCTCGGCCTCCCAAAGTGCTGGGATTACAGGCTTGAGCCACCGCGCCCGGCCTTCTTTTTCAAGATTGTTTTGGCTATTCCAGGGTCCATCAACTTTATATGAACTTTAGAATCAGTCTGTCAATTTCTACTAAGAAACCAGCTGGGATTCTGATAGGGATTGTGTTGCATCTTGCTATCTTAGTTATATGTCTGCTGGTCCACAAATGTGAGATGTTTTTCCATTTATTTAGATCTTTTTTTTTGAGATCGAGTCTTGCTTTGTCGCCAGTCTGGAGTGCAGTGATGTGATCTTGGCTCACTGCAACCTCCGCATCTCAGGTTCAAGTGATTCTCCTACCTCAGCCTCCCAAGTAGTTGGGACTACAGGTGCCTGCCACCACGCCCAGCTAATTTGTGTGTGTGTGCGTGCGTGTGTGTGTGTGTGTGTATTTTTTGAGACGGAGTCTTGCTCTGTCGCCAGGCTGGAGTACAGTGGCGCAATCTCTGCTCACTGCAACTTCTGCCTCCCAGGTTCACACAATTCCCCTGCCTCAGCCTTCTGAGTAGCTGGGACTACAGGCGTGTGCCATCATGCCCAGCTAGTTTTTTGTAGTTTAGTAGAGACAGGGTTTCATCATGTTAGCCAGGATGGTTTTTATCTCCTGACTTCTGGATCCACCTGCCTCCCAAAGTGATGGGATTACAGGCGTGAGCCACCATGCCTGGCCTATTTAGATCTTTAAGTTTTTCTTTCAAAACATTGTTTTAGTTTCCAGAGTATAGTTTTATACTTCTTTTGTTAATTCATTCCTAAATATGAATTATTTTTGATGCTATTGTGAATGGAATTGCTTTTTAAATTTTAGTCAAATTGTTCATTGCAAGAAACTTTTATAGAAATACATTTTTAGGCCAGGCACAGTGGCTCATGCCTGTAATGCCAGCGCTTTGGGAGGCCAAGGCTGGCAGACTGAGCTCAGGAGTTCCAGATCAGCCTGGGCAATGCAGTGAAACCCCATCTCTCCTAAAATACAAAAAATTAGCTGGGTGTGGCTTCACGCACCTGTAGTCCCAGCTACTTCTGAGGCTGAGACAGGAGAATTGCTTGAACCCAGGAGGCGGAGGCTGCAGTGAACCAAGATTTCTCTATGGCACTCCAGCCTAGATGATAGTGAGACTCTGTCTCCAAAAATACATTTTTATATGTTAATTGTGTATCCTGAAACCCTGCTAAACTCATTTATTGTAAGTTTTAATAATTAGTGAATTTCTTAGAATATTCTACATAGATCATCTCATCAGCAAATATAGATAGATTTATTTCTTCTTTCATCTTCTATTTTTTGGAAGAGTTGGTGAAGAATAGGTATTAATTTTTTTTTATATGTTTGGTAGAATTGGCCAATGAAGACATCTCTTTCTGGGTTTTTCTTTGTGGGTACTTTTAAAATTATTATTATTACTAATCTAATCTCTACTTGTCATCACTTTATTCAGATTGTCTATTTCTTCTTGAGCCTGTTTTGATAATTTTTGTGTTTCTAGGAATTTTCCCATTTTATTTAGGCTATCTAATGTAGTGGCATACAATTGTACATAGTATTCCTTTATAGTCCCCACTTTCATTTCCAGTCTGAGTCTTCTCTCTTCTTTGGTCAGTCTAGCCAAACGTTTGCTAATTATGTTAATCTTTAAAAAAACAGGATTTTTTTGTTTCATTTAATGTTCTCTGTTGTTTTTCTATTCTTTATTTCATGAATTTTGCTTTTGATCTTTTTATTTCCTTCCTTCTGCTTGCTTAAGGCTTAGTTTGCTCTTCTTTTCCAATGTCTTAAAGTGGAAGGTTAACTCATGAACTTGAGATTTCTTTTTTTAAAAAATATAGGCGGCTGGGCGCAGTGGCTCAATCCTGTAATCCCAGCGCTTTGGGAGGCCGAGGCGGGTGAATCACGAGGTCAAGAGATCGAGACCATCCTGGTCAACATGGTGAAACCCCGTCTTTACTAAAAATACAAAAAATTAGCTGGGCACGGTGGTGCGTGCCTGTAATCCCAGCTACTCAGGAGGCTGAGGCAGGAGAATTGCCTGAACCTAGGAGGCGAAGGTTTCGGTGAGCTGAGATCGCTCCATTGCACTCCAGCCTAGGTAACAAGAGCAAAACTCCGTCTCAAAAAAAAAAAATATGTATATATATATAGGCATTTGCAGGTATTAATTTCCCTCTAAGCATTATTCTAGCTGCATTCCAGCTAGAATTGGTGTATCATGTCTTCATTTCCTTCATCTCAAAGCATTTTCTATTATTTCCCTTTTGATTTCTTCCTTGGCCCATTGGTTATTTAGGAATGTGTTCATTTCCCCATACTTGTGAAACTTTGTGTGATTTTTATCCTTTTACCTTTATTGAGGCTTGTTTTATGGTCTAACATATTGTTTATCCCGCTTCGCTTTTCTTATGCTATAGGTGCAGATTCCTTAGATCATTAGATCATTAAGAGCCTGAATATGACAGAAGGAAGCACCGTCCAACTGGTTTTTAACTCCAGCTTTTCTATTTAGCAACAATATGGCTTGGAATGTCCATTTTCCCTTTCTGGGATTCAGTGTCCCTGTTTATATAAAGAAGACCAGTTTAGACTAGAAGACTTCTAAGGCTACAGGACTGGTTTTAAATTCCAATTCTTAGCTAAGCGTGGTGGTTCATGCCTGTAATCCCAGCATTTTGGGAAGCCGAGGCTGGCAGATCACTTGAGGCCAGCAGTTCGAGACAGCCTGGCCAACAATAAAGTACAAATAAACAATACAAATACAAAAGTTAGCCAGGCATGGAGGTGTGCACCTGTAATCCCAGCTTCTTGGGAGGCTGAGCAGTGAACCCAGGAGGTGGAGGTTGCAGCAAGCCAAGATTGTGCCACTGCCCTCCTGGCTGGGCTACAGAAGAAGGCTCCATCTCAAAAAAAAAAAAAAAAACAAAAAAACAAAAACAGTTCTCTCACTAGCTTGAATAAATCCTTTCATCTCTCTGAAAAGAACTTTCCTTATCTCTAAAATGAGGATAATAATACCTGAATTTGCTGAGTTGTTTGAAGACTAGAATAACATATGCATAATTACTGGCAATGTTAGGCCTTCAAAAATGAGTTTTGTTGATGTTGTTTTAATGATGATAATTGTCTATTTGTCCTGTGGTTCACCATAACACAACAGGCTAAGTTCACCTCATACAAAAACTTATCTGTTTGTCATCTGCTCCCCAAAGCCACTAGCTGATGTAGCTTACGCTGGTCCACTTTTATGGTCCACTTTTAGAATCCCATGTATATAATATGCTAGAATGAGGCATTTCATGGTGGCATCAATATGGCCTCAATAAGGCTTCTTACGTAAGTGACATTTTCTGTTTTGTACTTGATGTTTACTTTCCTCTTCAGAGATCACGGTATTTTATAACTATATGCTTTATAATTCCATACTAGGCACAACTTCTCACCTACAGGGTGTGTCATCAACTTTTGTAAGATGTGGAGAAGCAGCCAGTGAAACTTGGGTCTCAGGGAAGCATTACGACATGGTAGGTCCTATAAATCTAGCCCATAAACCCTCTCATTTTAATTGCTTTGAGCTCCTTGTCTTCAGTCAATCCACCTAAACATAAGGAAAACAAGATCGATTTTGAAACACAGCAGGGAAGAAGAAAGAAGAAATTCTATCAGATTGATGTGAGGTAGAACTGTACTCTGGAGGCGAGGCTTGGACACCAGACCAAATTGAGGGAAGGGCAGAAGCACCTTCCCATAAGACATGCCCACTAGTGTGCCATGTCAGTTTATCATTGCCATGGCAACACCCAGAAGTTACCACCCCTTTCCATGGCAACCACCCCACAACCTGAAAGTTACCACCCTTATCCTAGAAATTTCTGCATAAGCTGCCCCTTAATTTACATAAAATTAAAAAGTGGGTATAAATATGAGTGCAGCCCTGCCTCTGAGCTGCTACTCTGGGTGCATTGCTAATGGAGTGGCCCTGCTCTGCAAGGAACTGTACACTGTAGCGTCAATAAAAGTTGCTGTTTAACACCACCAGCTTGCCCTTGAATTTTTTACTGCGTGAAGCCAAGGACCCTCCCAGGCTAAGCGTTGATTTGGGGGCTTGCCCATCCTCCATCAAGACCATGCAATATGTGGAGATAGGAGGGGCTGAATCTGAGAATAGAACTCACAGCACCAGATTTAGAGATCTTATATATAGGGGAGGGGAAAGAAAAGGTCATTTTGGGGGGGGAAAGGGAAAGGAAGGTCATCTGATGCTTACTCAGGTTATCCAGCTACTGATGCCTGAAGAATCAACTCAGGTCTGAAGAGTGATTGCAGGGTAAAGTACCTCTTGGTAAAACACCCCTGGAGTAGGATACTATGGTAGAGAATGAACAGGAAATTGCAGGCACTACTCCAGGCATTTAAGCTATGTTTCTTTGAAGAAAGTCGGTTCTCAGTTGTGCCACAAAATAGGAACACAAAAGGTGGCGAAGAGTGAGTAGGAAGAAGCTGAAGAAGTTGTCTCCACACTCACACTCTTTCTTTCCAAAGATTAAGTCTGTTAGCAACTCCACTATCTCAATTAGGCCAAGTTTTGGCAATACAGGAATGCAGTCCGCATAATTTATTCCTGGTCAAGAATTTACTAGGAGTCTACCAGGTGCCCCATCCCACATCCCAGAGAACAGCAAATTCACTAGAGGAATTGGCAGCTTTTCCAAACCTCTCCACTAGATCAAGACTCCCAACGTGTAGCAGCCACAATGCTTTCCTTGGACGAGCCTCCGAGCTTTTATTAGCTTTTTGCTGTTTTTCTAGGTTAAATCCATTGGAAATTGGATTCTCTTTAAAAAGAAGTCTATTTTGGTTGAGAATACAGAGTATGTGGAATAATCAAGTCAGGTAATCTCTGGGGATTTGGATTAAGAATTCTCTGCCCATGATGCATCATATTTAGCTTTTATTTTTGGTGAAAGCCTAGTCTAAGAAATTGTATGAAAAAAATAAGCAAACAATCACAATCTTTGGAGAAGAGAAACGATGTCTGAGTTAGCTATTCAGTGAGCCTCAAAGATTCTGGCTTTGTCCTTGCATGTTTAAGGTTGACAGGTGTTTCCAGAAAAACGACTCATGTTTATTTAATGCCAGTACTGGAAGCCAATAAAAAGGCTGGACTTCTTGGCTCTCGGATGCAGTGTGATTTGGGGTTTTTCTCTCTACTACATTAACCACACATTCCTTAAAGAGTACTTACAGTCCTGGGAAGGATGTAAAATGTCAACACTGAAGTAAGATCACAAAATTCCTGGAATCACAGCAAACATGTTGTTAAGGATCAAACTGAAGATGTGCAAATCAAACACAATACTTGAAACATTTCGGTTTCCGAAAACCGAGCTTTTCGGTTCATTCTAAAAACTTAACGATTGCTCCAGATTCAGGGCAATGGCACGTGCCCCCACTTCTAGGTTCTTCTCTGAAGAGCTCGGGGCACTTTCCAGACATGACTTCATTTACTCTCCCGGCAACTAGCAGTGTGGGAGAGAAGAGCGAAGCTGTTCTCTCTGTATTACACATTGAGGAAAAGTGTCCTAGAAGAGAAATGATAGTCACATCAGCTGTCAGGTGAAAGAGTTGTGTGTCTTTTTGCCTTTGCAAAGACAAAATCCATGGAATGTGAAAGCTGGGAGAAAACTTAGACACCATCTAGTGCAGTGGTTTTATACACAAGTAATACTTCAAAACCATTTTAACAATCAGCTATAAATTTTGCCAAAAGGGCATTAGAAAAACAATACTTGTCATCCCATGAAGGCAGGAATATTATAACGCCAAAGAGGTAGGAAGAACAACTTCAAGACACACAATAGTCCTTCTCCATAAAGGACCATTTGCAACTTTGTATCAACACACACACAAACACACTGTGTTTCCCTAGTTTTTCTCTTTTTATCATCACAGACCAGCTTCAGTAGAAGGGCAGACATATAGGAATTTAGCCTACACCTTTATTTTACTTATGAGAAAATTAAGACCTGCAAAAGGAAGTAGGGCTGCCAGATAAAATACAGGACACCCTATTAAACTTGAATCCCATGCAATATTCTGGACATACTTATGCTCACTAATAATTTGTTGTTTATCTCAAATTCAAATTTAACAGGGCGTCCTGTATTTTTATTTGCTAAGTCTGGCAACTCTAAAAGGAAGTGACTTCTAGTTACTTGACTTGAAGTAACTGTGCTTAATAGTAAAATTAGAAGGAGAAATCAGTTCTGAGTCCAGTAAATTTGCTTTACTACACTGTGCTACCTTTTAATGCATCATAGCCTTGCTCTAATTCAATATAATTCATCACCCACACGAATTCACAGCTTGGGTGTCTGCAATCTCTTGCATACCTCTAATTTTAGTTTCATTGTTCCTAATTCTAATACTTTCTTCTTTAGATCCCAAAGTTTATTCTCTCTCTATACTAACAGTTATCAAACTTTTTAGCCTCAGGACCCTTTATTCTTAAAAATTATTGATGACCCCAAAGAGTTTTTAATGTATATGAATTATATCTATCAGTATTTAGTGTACTAAAAACTAATATTGAGAAAAAACTTAAATATCTTTTTATTAATTCCTTAAAAATAAGCTCATTACATGTTAACAGTAAAACAATTTTAATTTTCAAAACTGTATTTCCCAAACATAAATATCAAGAAGAGTAGTAGTAGTAGTAGTAGTATCTATTATTTTTACAAAATCTCTTTATTGTCTGGCTTAACAGAAGACAGCAAATTCTGATATCTGCTTCTGCATTTGATCTGTTGTGAAATGTTGTTTTGGTTGAAATGTATAAAGAAAAAGTATCCTCAACTGGGCACAGAGGCTCACGCCTGTAATCCCAGCTCTTTGGGAGGTAAAGGTGGGTGGATCACCTGAGGTCAGAGTTTGAGACCAGCCTGGCCAACATGGTGAAACTCCATCTCTACTAAAAATACAAAAATTAGCCAGATGTGGTGGCAGGCACCTGTAATCCCAGTTACTCGGAGGCTAAGGCACGAGAGGAGGAGGTTGCAGTGAGCCGGAATCGAACCACTGCCCTCCACACTGGGCGACAAAGCAAGACACCATCTCAAAACAAACAAACAAAAAAAATAGAAAAGAAAAAGTAGCCTCAAACAGATATGTGGTTGAAAAAGGAAGGAGTGTTTCAAGTAGCCTTTGAAGATCACTGTGACTATTTTTTAAATGTTACACCAAAAAATTGGTATTTTTTTAAAAATTGATACTTCTTTTAAAAAATTGATAGTTTTCAATGATTATTTGCAGTATAAAATGCAACCCCTTAATAGTAAAACTTTTGTTTTTCTTTACATTAAAATCATTGGCCTCTCATGTACTTTGAATGGCTTGCTTCCCCATAAATGATACATCATTTGTTGGCAACTTGCAAAACATTAGTTCATTAAGTCATGCAGGTCCTCCAAATGTTGACACATTTCCTTATACATTTCCACAAATCACATTTGTTAACATTTGTGATATTTGTTAATGTCATAATTCATGTGATCAGAAACGACTGAATGTTTTCTGAAATTCTGCTTTTGTTTGGAAGTTGGAATTTTATTATTGGCGACGATCAAACTGCTTTGTTGAAGTGTCAGGCTCCTTTTCTCATCACTGAGAAAATGTCTACCAAATCCGAGTAACCAGAACTTGCCTGTAAGTCATTTTTCAAATAAAAATAAGGTGCCATGAAGAAAAGCAACTAACTCAGCTTGCAACTCAATTACAAGGTAGTTTTCCTTGAAATGGTCATTGTCCTTTGCTATGCAGCAGAAGTGCCTATGTGTGCTTCTCACTTTGCCACACTGACCCTTACCAAGAGTTGAGGCTTACAAAAATAAATGTTACTTCATCAAGGATATTTTCAAGTTATATATATATATATATATATATATATATATTTTTTTTTTTTTTTTCCCCGAAACGGAATTGCATTCTGTGGCCCAGGCTGGTGCAATCTCACCTAACAGCAACCTCTGCCTCCTGAATTGTTCAAGCAATTCACCTGAGTAGCTAGGATTGCAGGCACACACCACACTCAGCTAATTTTTGTATTTTTAGTAGAGACGGGGTTTCACCATGTTGGCCAGGCTGGTCTCAAACTACTGACCTTATGATCCACCCGCCTTGGCCTACCAAAGTGCTAGGATGACAGGTGTGAGCCACGGTGCCCAGCCTGAAACTGGCTATTTTTGTTGTTTTGCTTTTGTTTTTAATATTGAGTGCATTGTGATGAAAAATGAAGTGACTACTAACTAGTACAGTTTGGCGATAGCAGTTTTACCAACATTACTTTTCAACCCTCAATGCATATGTCAACATAATGCACAAGACAAATTACGCCTTAGGATTTTTTTTTTTTTTTGAGACAGAGTCTCACTCTGTCACCAGGTTGGAGTGCAGTGGCACAATCTCGGTTCACTGCAACCTCCACCTCCTGGGTTCAGGTGATTCTCCTGCCTCAGCCTCCCGAGTGGCTGGGATTACAGGCATGTGGCACCATGCCCAGCTAATTTTTGTATTTTTAGTAGACACGGGGTTTCACCATGTTGGCCACGATGATCTCGATCTCTTAACATCGTGATCCACCTGCCTCAGCCTCCCAAAGTGCTGGGAGTACAGGTGTGAGCCACCGCACCAGGCCTGCCTTAGGATTATTAAGAAAATAGTTTTGCCCTTTTGGACCCCCTGATAGGATCTTGGGAACTCTCAGGGGTCTGCGGACCCTACTTTGAGATCCACAGCTCTATCCCACCTTTGCTCTAACACACTCAGAAACAGCTGAAATGCTTAAGAAGAAACTCAAGCCTAAAACACATTTAGAGAGACAACTCTTTTGTTCCAATTCATCACCACAGAATAAACCTGCAAAGAAGCCTCTGGAAACCTTTTTCTTTATTCATTATGAAAATAGATCTGTGGCCTACAATAGCATAACTTAGATTCTGTGAACTGCTCCTGAATGCACGGTGTTCCTTGGGGCCTAGAATGTTCTTGGCCATCTCCTACTCCTAATTCTATGCATTCTTCTGGGAAGCATTCTTAAATCCCTTAAGACTGAATTCCCACTGCACTGTGCTTATCATTACGGGCAGGGATTAGGAGGCAGGGAGAGGAGAATAACATTAAGTCCCTACTTAAATTAATTAAAGTATTTCAGGCATCATGCTGGATACTTAACATTTAATGCTCACAAAAACTGTGCGAGATAACTTTATAGTTTAGAGAGGGTGAAAAATGTAGGTAATAAGAACTGTTTGAATCTAAAGCTCTCTGTATTCAATCATGGGTTCGTTTTCTACTGCTTAGGGAAATTTGATTTCGTTGTAATTTGTCTTATCTTCATATTTATAAAGTGGTTTAGGTCAATGATCTCTGATTCCTTTTAGCATTAAAATTTTAGGAGTTGATGATTCTTGGCTGCTTATGGAGCTACTGACCAATTATTCAGCAAACTTCATCGAGATTGATAACCATAAGTTTTTACACTTCCCTGCAAGTCAGAGAGGGCTGAAGAGAGACTATGACAGAGATGGCCTGCGGAGGAGCAGAGAGAGGGCTGAGGAGGCTGTGATGGTATGAACTCTGAAAAGACATACTCAGCCCATTCATGGAAATCATCAGATGGCTAGAAATTGATATTCAAAGTCATACTATTAGAAAAGAAGAGTAAATGTACAGAGCATAATTTTGAAAAACAAGATAAAACAAGGTGGGGAACTCTGTCCTGCCAAAAATCTAATTGTTTTGTTTTTTGAGACAGGATCTCACTCTGTCACCCAGATTGTAGTGCAGCAGTGCAATCTCTCTCACTGCAACCTCTGCCTCCTGGGCTCAGTGATCCTCCCACCTCAGTCTCCCAAGTAGCTGGTACTACAGGCATGTGCCACCACACACACGTACTGATTCAATATTTGTTGTTTTTTTTTTTTGTTTTGACCAGAGACAGGAGGTCTGGTCTGGAACTTCTGGGCTCAAGTGATCCTCCTGCCTTGGCCTCCCAAAGTGCTGGGATTACAGAGGTGAGCCACTGCACCTGGCAAAAAAAAAAAAAAAATCTAACATTTTGACATTTGATACTGTAAAGTTATAGTACTTAAGACACAAAAAGTATAAACTGAAAAGAAAAAAATTGGTGAATTTGACTATTTTGTAAGTTAAAACCAAAATGACATACCATAGAAAAAGTGAAAAACAAGACACAGGCTAGAAAAAGATATTTAAAATCTAGAGAACCAAAAAAGGATAAGTGCCCGGGATACACAAGGAGTTTCTACAAATCTGTGTGAAAAAGACAAATAATGCCTCAAAAAGGGATTAAAGATAGAAAATTCCATTTCACAGAAGATGAAACACGCATGGACGGTAAATAAATAGATATTAAACCTCACTAAGCAAGCAATGAGATATTAATCCATCAGATTAACAAAAATTACAAATTTTTTTTAATGTAAGTGTTGGCGAGATAGTGAAACAGAACCTGCTGGTAGGAGTGTAATTTGATTTGATTTTGGAAAATAAATTGATAATA